GGATCTGACCACATGACCTGCTCTGTCAATGGGACAAAAACAAACATGAGGCAAGCAGAACTTGAACTGTGCTTCAGCGCTGGGCTTGTCCTCTTTCATTGCTAGGAACTCCTTTGCCACTATTTATCATATCCCAGCTAATCTCCCAGAGAAGCCATAAGGAGGAAATCTGAGCCAATTTCCAGCTGTGTAACAGGCCATCCTGGACCACCCAGCTCTAGCCAAGCCCCAAGAGACCACAGTCTGCATGACCTCAGACTCAGTATGACCAACCGTATGGTAATGATGCTTAAAGTAAATCTAGGTTCCATTATTAGAGGGATAGAGACCCTGTTCAGGGAGATAATCATCCAGAAGGTTGCCTCTAGCTTTGGTTGCTGCACTTAAAAACTGGAATGTGTCCTAAAGAGAGAAATTTGGATGTGAAAATTCAGAAAACCTTGAGATAAGAGTAAGAACCAAGGGAACCGTGGAGAAGGTATGCCATCATTTTTATATACGAAGGTTTAGTTACAAGAGTGAGAAAATTTTAATTTGCACTGCTCTAGGCAGAAGGCTAAGATTAACGGGTGAAGAAAGTCAGAGGCAGGTCCGTTGTCAACATGAAAATAAACTTTCTAATATTTAAAGGGGTAAAACAATAAAATAGGTTGACTTGAACAATAGTGAGGATACTGTCACTGGATGTGTTCAAAGATTGTTAATCTTTGCACAGGGATATGGCAGAAGATTCTTGCACTGAGAGGAACATTAGACAAGATGACACCTAAGGTTCCTTTCAAATCCAATATTCTGTGTTTCTGTGTGAAATTTCTATGTGCATCTATCTGCATTTGTCTTTTTTTTTTTGTTTAAAATATTACAGATGTCCCTTTTTCTCCCCAATGACCCGTTCCACCCCGTTTCTTCCCCCTCGCCAGTCCCTCTCCCCACCATTGTCCATGTCCTTGGGTTGTGTATATATGCATATAAATTCTTTGGTTACTCTCTCCCCCTCCACCCTTACAAAACCTAATAAAGGAAGTCTTCTGCAACCTCATCTCCAGGGTTTTCCCCAGTCTCTCAAATCATTCATTTTGCTAGTGAACCATGGCAAAAACATCAAGTTTCTAGAGCTGGCCACTTCCTGATTGTGGCAGAGGCTTCCTTGGTGATTATTTGTGCTGAGGTTTGCGAGTGGCATTTCTAGTCTGTAAACTAGCTATGCTTAATAAGAATTTCTTCATTCTTAAATGGGATAAAGCAATACTTTAATTCTATATATAGAATTATCAAGCAGTCACATCTCCAAATCAGCTAGTCTAAGAGACCTAATTAAATCAACATCTCTTCTATTCTCTCTGCTACCAAATTCTCCCCTTAGGTTCGTTCTGTGTGTCTCATAGTTCAGTTCCAGTGTGAGTTTTATGGATTTCCACTGTAGAGTTTTATGGTTGCTCCAGAATCAAAACACTATTTCTAACCTATTTTTTACTGCAATTTCTACGATAATTTATGTCTAAACTATTGGAACACAATCTTTTTGTGTAAAGAAGATTTTTTTTTGGTGCCAAAACAGCAGGACAACTGCCCTAAGTAAATTCCAGGCTGAACTTGCTCCCCACCCCACCTCCCGCCTCCTACCCCCAGGGAGTGAATCATCCCAGGGTGGAATACATTTGTTTTCTAAAGTAATTTCCCTCCCTTTATGATTGCATTGCCTTCAACTTCAGTTTTTAGTTTGGCTGGGAGAGTCCTCAGGAAAAAAAGATGATAGCACCCTTGTCTATTCTTCTGTTCTTGTCCACTGAACTCTATTACCATCTCTTCAGTGAAAGTAAATGAATTCCTTGGATGCCACCCATCGGGGTTGAGTGGCAATGATGGCAGTGAAATAAGGGAGCTGCAAGGTCTTCTCTTTCTCTGCACATCCCGTCTCCCTGTCTCCTGCAGCCTGCCTCCAACGCCTCAGTCTCTGTCTAACTTTCTCTGGCTCTCTGTCCCTCTATTTCTCTCTCTCCCTCCTTACGGGAAGTTGTATTATGCAGATGATTCACACATCCAGAGTTTTCTCACGCATCTAAATTTAACTAAATCAAATGGTTTCATGTGACTATATCACAGACATAAGGAAATTACCAACATCAGCTTCTTTTTCTCCCTAAAAATTATGTTTCTCCACATGCCGAAACCCAGCAGAGGGCACCCTTCCACCTCAGATGCATGAAGAGTGCAGCCAAAAGGCTTTCCCTTTACAACTGTGTGCTGGAGTTTAAATGAAGAGGCTCTTGTGGTAGGAGGGGAATCTGTTATACAAGTTATTCTGGAGTGTTCACCTCCATTTTGAATGATAGATTTCAAAGTAATTCTCCTTTCATAAGGAAACAAACAAACAAAACAAGACCAAAAAAAAACGAGGGTGAAAAACCTCTGTCTCTGGCCTCTCTCCACGTTTGAAACATTAGCTTCAAATTTCAGAAGCAACAAGGGAGCACCTGGGCGATCTTCCCTCCTCTAGGCTTCTACGTGGGAAAATAAAGTAACCGCAGAGCAAAGGCAATTAAGAAAGAAATCTGTGCCCTACCACCTTTGCTGCTCTCTCTTCCCTTTCCTCAAACTAAAAGACAAAAGCTGAAAAGGCGCCCCGGCCTCTTAGATCTCAGAAGCAAGAGGAAGATAAGCAGGGCTGGGAGCAGTGTAATAGGCGTGGCCAACCCTGCACGTGGCCAACCCTGCGCGTGGCCCACTAAGTTTCCTTGTGCAGTTTCACAGAGACTTAAGTTCCACCATGAGAAATGTCTTACACTGTCAGAAGGATTTTTCCTGGGTCAAAAGGCAAATGCCCACAACCCTCATCAGTGAGTTTCTCCCCAGTGTGGATGAGTTTATCAGATCATTTCCTTATAGGAAAATATCTCCAGGAGAGAAGGAAAGATTTTAAGGGGACAAGAGCATCCTTCATACATCCATTCAACTTATGTTTTTGAGACTTTGTGCCAAGCCCTGTTGTAGGTGCCAAGAATGCATGAGTAAACAAAGATCCCTTCTTGAGGTTGTACCAAAGAGCAAGGGTCTGGGGAGGTGGACATACCTAACTGAGTCTGCCCCTGCCCCTTACCAGCTATATATGTGACTTGGCACAAAGGACTTAAGGTTCTCTTGTGCAAAACAGGAATAATACTATTAATATTTATTGAAAACATAACTTTGTTCCATACACAGGAACTAAGCACATATAGGGTGGGGCACAAGTAGGCTTATAGTTGTGAGTACTCGAAACACAGTTTATTCTTGTGTTATTATTTATTAATTGTATTATTTTCCACATGAACAACTGTAAACCTACTTTTGCCCAACCCTGTATATCATAAAATGTTCACAATAAGACTATGAGAATAGTTCCATCATCATTCTCATTTTATGAATGAGGAAATCGAGGCACAGAGTGGTTTACAAATTGCCCAGGATGACATGAAAGCCTGGGAGCGGGAATCTGAAACAAGGCTGTCTGATCCCAAGGCGGTCTTGCCTCGTAACCAGTATGCCGGAGAGCTGATTTCCAAGGCGGAGCTGAGAGCGGGATGAGATGGCAAGTGTTACACTGACAGCGCAGTTTAGTATTATTCTTAGTATTATCATCACGATGTATCAGAATTATCACTGTCATTGTTAGAGCTTTCTGGGACCTCAGGGTCTATGCTGAAATATAACATATGAGGCTCAATAATTCAAAGCAAAATTCTTCTGCTTGGGAATGCAGGCTAGACCAGCTCTGTTTGCAAGTCAGATTGCATAACGTCATAGCTATTGAATCATGGCTTCCTGTGTTTATCTTTGCACAAGATGCCAGCCTGCCTCTAATAACTAGGACTCCAGACAGGAAATCAGAACACCGGTTCCCTACAAGAATATGACAAGAACATGCAATTCCCTGTAACAAAACATGAATATTTTCTGCTCTGGGTTTTTCTAACCTCCCCTGAAAGCTGAAGGTTAAGACCAGATGCAAAACAAAAGCTAGATCCAAGTATCCATGTGTGGTTTGACAGTCCCTCTTTGTTCCCTGAGTTTTCCTGTAATGGATTCACTGCTGGTGTCTCTTGGCTCTTTGCTCCCAGTCTTTCCAAAGTGTACTCTCTATCAGCCCTGGCCGGGTAGCTCAGTTGGTCAGAGCATTGTCCCAATACACCAAGGTTGCAGGTTTGATCTCTGGTCAGGGCACATACAAGAAGCAACCAATAAATGCATAAATAAGTGGAACAACAAATCGATGTCTCTGTCTCTCTGTCTCTCTCTTCCTCTCTCCCTTCCTCCCTCTCTCTAGAATCAATTAAAAAAAATAAAATTAAGAACAAAGTGTACTCTCTAGAGCCCTCTCCTGGGCTTCTTACCTACTGAGCATGTCCACAGATCAATGGGAGTTATTATGCTAATAGTATTACTCAAAGAGAAATGAAGCAGACATGCTTTCTTGCTGCTTTGGGAGTTCTCTCTGCTTATTATAAGCCTCAATTTGTGTCTCAAGCTGCTGCATTACCAAAATCAAGAACAATTCTAAACGCGCAGATAAAATTCCGGCTCCAGGCCCCATTTCTTATTGATTTCATTTCAGGACTATCATCTTAGGTTCGTTAGGTAGGAAATTGAGTGCTGGGTAATGAATGGGGTACAAGAGAATTCACAAATATATATCTTACAAATAATCCATTTTTCTTGCCTGTACCAAGAAAATAGTTTTTATCCCACATGTCGAGCTTCCTAACGCAAAATTCAAGTCAACTGAACGTTTAAAAAATGTATCCTATTAAAAAAGGCAATTTCATGCTGATTTTATCTCACTGTGCTTCTGCAGGGATGAACACACTTGCAACACATTGTTTGGAATAAGTGCTTCAATCTCTTTGGTTTGAATTCGGAAAACAGCACATGTCCCGGTGGTTATGTTGGCAAATGACCTTGTCATAGGCTTACAGATTTCTATCAATACAGGTTGAGTTTAATAAAAATAAGATTTTCCTTACCCCAAGATAATGGCCATCGATAAACACGACAGGGAGGGAAGGAGCTTCGGAAACCCGTCGGCATCGTTCATCTAACTCTTTTCCATAGTCACCATTCAGAGCTATGTTTTTCTCTTCAAATTTCACTCGATGGTTTTGGAAGATCTTTCTAACCAGTTCACATCTTTCAAAGGTTGTCCGCACCACACGAAGGCAAGTGGTGTAAATCACCACACGGTCAAATTCTAGCTCGGCTGACGGTTGCTAAAGGGAAAAGATTGTAGTGTGAATATGTTTGCATTTATTTTCTTACATCTTCTTTTAATTAACAAGTTTAATAAGTGTCATATATTAAGGGCATGCAATACAAGATGAATGAGCGCTCTATCTGTCAATTCTCAGACAGGACTTTTTAAGTTAGAGTGTCTATAATTGACATAGGGATAGCAATCAACCTAATTTAAATGTTAGACATAATTTAATTGACATTTTTTCTGGTCTCAGTGGCACATCAAATAATGGCACATTTTAAAACTGGTGATGTCTCACTTGGCATGCCATGTGGTGAAATAAGGAATGGTTGAATTCTTTTTCTCATGTTTTGTAGACATTGTTCAACTGTAAACACTCCTTAAACCCAAAGTAAAATATGGAACAAATTCCCAAAGTAAAATATGGAACAAATTAGTCAAGGTTAGCATTTAACCATTTGAAAATTTTTTCACTTATCAATTTACCAAATTTCATAGTCTCTTGAGCCACAATTTCTTGGAAATAACAAGACCTATATCATGGGATTGTTCTGAGGTTTAAGTAGCACAACACATGTGCATGGCTCTGTTGAGGACAGGGCTCCGGTGTACAGTGACAGGGCTCTGCCACAGGCATGAAGAGTGGAGTGACTCGGAGGGGTTGCGTAGGACCCAGCAGCAAAACGGGCAGTGGGTCAAAGGCAGGCATGACAAGGAAACAAAAAAATAGGTACAAGCAACTCTCAACACAAAGGAGAAGACTCCCTGTGTGAGAATCGTTTATTCTGCACTTCTGTTACATCAGAAATCGGTGACTGCATTCCTGGGAAGCCCTGCCCAGCACTGCTCAGACCATACCAGGTTGGTCCTGACATCGGCAAAGAGGCTCTTCCTCCTTAGCACAGTCCTACTTGCAGGAGACTGAACAGAATGCTGCTATACCATGACACAAGGGACACGTGAGTCTTCACAGGGCTCCAGCTGTTCAAACACAACCACACAATTTGTAAACCTACATGAAGTCAAAACTGAGTGGACACTGCTCCAGCCAGCTAGATACCAGAATCAGAAGGTAGGATACAAGCTCCACCACTCTGAGTTCAACGAAATCAGAACAGTCTGCCAGCTGCATGTGTGCAGATAGTCCTAAAAATGTCCAAGGTCACAAAGATGGCAAAGTAACATTCTCTACCTCCGAAAGAAAGGACATCTTTCTTTCCTGATGATAAAGTTTATTAAAGATAAAGAATCATTTCTTCTCTCAATAGAGCTTAGTGACTAAGTCGAAAACCCAGAAAAATGTTTCTCAGGTTCAGGTAAGCTTCAGGCTTTGCAGGCATGTTACTCAGTGTTGTCAGGCGTGATTGTTTTAAATATAAGCTTGAAATATGGATTTTTATAGGAAATGTTCTGCTTTCTAAACTTTGGCACCTCATTAAAATTTGAGGCCATGCAGACCCATATATCTAAAGGCTGAGTTTGGCCTAGAGACTGCTAATATATTACCACTGGGGTAGAAACAGCACCTGATATACTTGGGCTCTGCCACCAGCCATCTGTGTGTCTTTTAGAAGCTAATGAACTAATAAGCCTTCGTTTTTATGGTTTTTTAAAATCTGCACAATGTGATAATAGCAACAGCTACCTAAAAGGTTTACTGAGAAGATAAAGCAAGAATATGAAAACAATTAGTATGGGGCCTGAAATACAGTACTGTGCTGGTGCAAAAATATTACATTCTACATTGTGGAATCTCTAAGATTAAAAACACAGACAAAAATAAGTCAGTGGAAAAAAGGGTAATAGATGAGAAGAAAAGGTAATTATCACTATGCTTTAGATTAAGAAGCACTGATCTTCAAAGAAAGCAACCCAATGCCCAAGAGCCCATAGCTCCTTTTCATGTTCACAATTACAGGCAAGCCTGGAGTCAGGGAACTCGCCGCAAGCACGGCAGCTTTTAGGAGAGCACCGGAGTTCTCAGTTCCCTGTCACCATCTGAGAATTTATGCCTTGTTCTCCTGGCTGCAAAGACATTATAACAGCTTTTGGTCCTACCAAAGTGTTACATTTTTGTCAACAGGTACAGGTAGTTTTAAAAATATTTGATAAGAAATGCATTTGCCCCATGTGTAGAAGTGGGAAAGTTTAAGATTGGCCCTCGCTGCCCCACATCCACCAGCTCATAGAGGATTCTCTCTACTCACACAGCAAATGCCAGGTACCACTCTGCTGCGCATCTCTGAGAGCCGTGCATTTAAACACCAGTCCTAAGACACACCCCTATCAGGTGGTCACTGGGATGCTGTCTAATGCGAAGGATAACAAAATATCCCTCTATCTACTGCTGCAGAAGAGCTCTGCCTGGAAGGAGTGGATCTCCAAGGGTGTGAGATAGTAGAACAAACTGGGAGCTTTTACAAATCCCCAAAGCCCAGACCAAGCACATACCAATTAAATCAGAATCACCAGGGGTGGGACCTCAGAACTGAGATTATTTTAAAGCTCCTATGGTAATTCCAATGGGAAAACAAGTTCTAGAGCTAGTTAGATACTAGTTGGAAATGCAGAATCATCGGTCTTACCCAGATCTACTGAATGAGAACCTGCATTTTAACAAGTCTTCTGGAAAAGCTGGATGCACATTACATTTTTGAGGAGCCCCAGTGCAATCACTGAGGCAGCTTGACTTGACAGAGAATCTGGGGTTATGTCCCTTTAAAATAACCACTAGTCATTCATTCAGTTATCAGAATAATTTTTTGCCAAACATGGTGCTGGACACTAGATACATAATGGTGACCAAACAATATAATTCTCTAATAACACAGAGCTCATTGGAGCAATGAAAAAAACAAACCCAAAAGGTACATAAATAAATATAGAATTACAAACTGTAAAGTGTTGTTGAGTAAATGCACAAAATGGTAGGAGAGGCTATTGCAGGAGTGCCTTCCCTTGTCCTAGAGGTCGAGAAAGTATCTCCTGATTTTTTACTTCTGATTGGAAGTATAAGAAAGAATTAGCAGAGAAATTACCTAGGTAGAGCGCAAGGGGGAAAGTATTATATGTAAGTGCAGGGATCCTGAGATGGGAGGAAGTGGCATGTTGAGGCTCTGAAAGAAGGTCTTTTACTGAAACACACACAGAGAGAGAATTATAATAGTACTAACTGATTCTGGACAGGTGTGCAGGCTCAATATCATGTTGTACTTTATAGCCACTTTAAAGACCTAGGGCCTCTAACCTAAGAGCAATGAGAAATCCTTGAAGGTTTTTAAGGAGGGTGGGAGGGACTTACATTTTAAAAAAGTAAGTCAAGCAGGGCCAGTGCGCATAGTTGCACAGGACGTGCACTGCACAAACCCAGGGAGTGTCATTAGCAGCAGAGTCTAAATGAATTATGCCTCACAGCTTGAGCAATCTCAGTCTCATTCCCAATTCCCTTGCTCCCGGAACTGAGACTGAACACAGGGTAAGTTCAGGGTAGGAAATATGGGCACCCATTAGAATAGGCTATTAGGTAAAATGTGCTAAAAAAGTCTTACTGCACAATGTTTGGTATGACTTGGAAATAGATCTTCTTAAAAGTAAAGAGGGGTAGGTTGAATGATTTCCCGAGGTCTTTCCCAGTTTTACAATATGAATTTTCAATGATACTGTCTTTGGTCATAAAGAAATCCTCTTCTACATTTGTTTCATGTTCTTTCCTTCAACAGATTTGGCCAAGCATCTGCCTGAAATCTAAAAATAGCCTCTCAGTGGTTAGCGGTCCCTCTCCTCCCTGGCTGAGGGTTACCATGGGAATGCGTAATGAAGGACAGAAGCGTCCAGACAGCGCCCAGGAGCCACCGGGATTCGCAGCCTGCTTGGTCTGAGAGCTGGCCCAGATGTTAATAAAGGCAGGCCATTTCTTCCTTCCCGTTGATTAAAACGACGCATCTTAGTGCCCGTCAGGTCCTGGGAATATCAAGGGGATCGCCTTGTAAAGTACATGACTGGCTCACCACTATGTTGTACACCTGAAACTAATACCAAGTACTACTGAATATAAACTGTAATTTTAAGTGTTTTTAAATTAAAAATTTATTTAAAAAATTATTAATATTAGTGGTGCCCCGAAGCCTCACAACAACCCGCAGCGAATTTAGACATGTAGACAAAGTATGGAAACTGCTGTGAATGAGACTAAGAGGTTACTAAATAGCCAACATATGTCCTCAGCCTGCACATAGTGTTCCTGCACTAGTCACTGTGGAACAGTAAGTACTTCAGCCCCCTAGTCATCTTGGGACAATCCTGGAGCCCCCACACCCATTGCGGCTGCCACTGGAACTCAGGACAAGAATTGGACCCCATCCTTCCTTGTTAGACGGTCAACTTGGAGCAGACCCAGCTCCTCAGGCAGGAGCAGACCCAGGGGGTCATTTCCACCTGACCCTTTGCCTGTCCAGCCTGGCCGTGTTTGACAAGGCCTCCTGAAATAGGCCTCCTGGTCTTATCCCAGTGTGTCCCCAAGTCACCAAGAAACTAGGGGCCTCCAGACAACTTCAGGAATTCAGATCATAAACAAAATAAAAAAATTAAAAGTAACATTTAAAAATGTCAGTGGCAGATATAATGCTATGCGTTCACTTAATCCTCACAATAACTTCCATGGTGTTACTCTTTGTTTATAGATCTAGAAACCTAGGCTCAGAGATCAGTGTCCTGGACAAGATGACAAGAGTTAAATTCATCCAGGTTAGAAAACTGGACCCAGATGCACAGGCTTCCAAGTCTGTGTGCTTTCCCGGCACCACAGGGAACCAGTGAGGCATGCTGCTGTTACACTGCCCCTCCTCAGGATAAACCTGCTGTCAAACCAGAGGCGGCTCTGGGTCTAACTCACTGCCTGGGATGCAACCCCTGTGACTTGAAGAGGTTTGCGGGTTTACTAAATTACACTCCCACATTTAACAGTAAACAACATCATTGGAGGAACATTTTAAACTAATTATTTTCAGTCTAAAC